TCACGTTGTACGAGAATACAACGCTGCCGCGGATTCGTTAGCCACTGAAGCGCTGGAATCGAAGGTCAGTCGGGTCATCTTAGCTGAAACTCGCAAGTCGGAATTGGCATCGCTGAATCGCATCCAGAAAATGATCTACGAACCGGATGAAGACTCGGTAGATGTTTCGTCACGTGGAGCAGAGCGCCAAGTACATGTACTGTCAGGCAGCGAATCTTCAAAGTGGAAAACGTTCGAATTGGCATCGCTGAATCGCATCCAGGAAATGATCTACGAACCGGATGAAGACTCGGTAGATGTTTCGTCACGTGGAGCAGAGCGCCAAGTACATGTACTGTCAGGCAGCGAATCTTCAAAGTGGAAAATTTGTGAAAATTTCGTGGTTGATTACAGCTCACCAAAGTGCGATTATGGTAATATGGCAGTGATGACTCGGCGACAGACGAAAGCCAAGAAACGCGTCAGGTTTGCAGATGAACACTCGGAGGAGGTCTCAAAAGCTCAAGAACAGAATGAAGAACGACGAGAGACGTCCACCGAAGATTCAATCGGCGAAGATTTGCCAGAGCATCCTCACAAGACTGTACCAGCGGCATTTCCCGATGCAGAAGATGTTGACCCGGTAGCGATACAGCGGGAACGACGCAGACGGATACTAGTGGCGCAAGACGAGGAGCAGAAGTGGTTTAACATCAAGAAAGTGCTTCAGGGCCAAGCAGAAGAGCTGAGTTACAAAGAAGCTCGAGATGCCTGGAAGTACGCTGACCGGTTCGTGTTATCAGAAGACGGCGTGCTTCACTATCTTGGATTGAATCGTCGGTACGACCACGGTTGGCAAGAGGAGACCAAGCTGCGGCTTGTGGAACAACGATGATTCAAGAGGTCTTGCAGAACTGTCACGACTCGCTGGAAGGAGGACATCAAGGTGTGGTGAGAACGTTCCATCGCGTTAAGTCCGATTATTATTGGATCGGCTTGTACGCTGACGTGGAGAAGCATGTGAAGTCATGTCCAGATTGCAGCTCGAGTAAAAGCCGTCCACAGCTTCGTGGATACTCACCTGGTAACGTGCTAGCCGAACGACCTTTCCAGATCGTCTCGATGGATTTTGTGATCCCACTACCGAAATCTCGTAGGGGCAACACGGCGTTGCTCCTATTTCAGTGCTCGTTCACGGGATTCGTTATTGCCAAGGCTATGTCAGATACGACTGCACTGAGTGTTGCCCAAGTGCTGGAAGAATGTGTGTACCGACGGTTCGGAGCCCCATCATTAATAAGGCATGACCGCGACCCACGCTTCATGAGCGAGGTGTTCCAAGCGTTCGCAGAGATGATGCAGTCAAGATCAAGAGCGACTTTGAGCTATCGGCCGCAGGCTAATGGACAGCAGGAACGCTCGGTGAAGTCAGTGATGGGGTCCGTACGGGTGTACGCGGAAGACCCTCTACAGCAAGATTGGGACGAAATTGCGGAGAAGCTAGTATTTGCTATTAATACTTCTAAAGACACTACGAGGAAGGAAACGCCGTTCTACCTCGTTCATGGTTGGGATGCGCAGTCGACGTTGCGGGCAATGTCGTCATCACTCAAACGAGGACTCGGCAAGCAGTCTGACGCACTGGCGTGGCGGCGTGAGATCAATCGACAACATGAGGTCGCCCTCACTATGGCCAAGGATTATCAGGCTGTAGAAAAGGAGCGAAGGGCTAAAAAGCATAATGATGCTCTGAGTCGACTGGAAAAAGCTGCTGTACCTCAACCAAGTGAAAACGAACACTCGGCGGACCCTCCAGAAGCTTCGGAAGAGATGGAAGATCCTGCAAGAGCTCCACCGAGATCTCTTTTTGAGATTGGGAGCCGGGCGTGGTTGTACATGGAACGCGTCAAACCGGGCTTGACAAAGAAATTAGCTCACCGATGGCATGGACCTTTTCGGATCAAGCGCAAGGTGGAAGAGTTTGCGTACGAGCTGGAACTGCCTGACCGAAGTGGGTATCGCTTCTACCCAGTAGTGCATGTGTCGAGACTCAAGGCTGTCAACGAGTTCAGCAGTCGACCGAACACTCGGTTGGTACTTGACGCGACTAATGAAGCAAGACTCGACTTCGATGAGGAACTACTGCCTGAAGACAGCTGGGAACCAGATCAAGTTGCCGGTGAATATGAAGTCGAGGCCATCCTCGACGACAGAACACCCCTGTCGACGAGCACGGAGCGTGCTGTACGCGAGTTCAAAGTCAAGTGGGTGGGCTATGAAGATCCAACTTGGGAACCATCATCCAACTTGTCATGTGGAGGTCTGCTGTACGACTAGTTGCGAGCCAAGAAGAGCGAGAATCGGCTGCAGATGGCGCAGGTGGCGGACGAAGACTAGCGTGACTGGATCACGTGTGAACTGTCCACAGGGCGATGCAGCCTGTGGTAACAGACGAAAAACGTTACTGCAACAACAAATTGTATATGCATTTGAAGAACAACATGAACCTGATTACGCTGTGGAAGTGGATTAAGAATAAGAAAACATGAACGCCGACCGGAGAGCGACCACTGAAAACGAAGTCACGCGGGATACATCAACAGTTGGCTGAGATGCTGGAGAACGTCGTGGAACACGCAGCGAGGACATCATCGAAACCAACAGCAGTCTCGAGGCGACGCTGAGTGTGTATATCGCCGTGGAGAGGAGGCGCAACGCTGAGCTGCACTTGGTGACGAGCCATTGCAGTCAAGTACGGGATTATCGAGGTCATCATGTGATCGACCGATGCCTCCGTACTTTCAGTCAGCATGGCGCGCAGCGAATCTTCGGTGAGTGGTGGTGGACCACCAGCTGGGGCAGGAGGAGCAGCAGGAGCCATCTCCGCGGGTTCAGCGACGACGGGGAGTGCTGCAGGAGCTACCGCAGGGAGTGAAGAGTCCGGGGCAGCGGGCGCCGGAACGTCGGTTGATGACGCTGCTGACGCAGGAAGTGCAGCAGACTGAGGGGCGTTCGAACCCTCGGTCTTGCCCTCCTGAGAAATAAGTCAAGTGATACGAGGTGATGAGCAAGGTGCCGATGATTCAGGAGAAGGATGGGCTTACGTACCTCCAGCTGCTCACGTTCGCGACGTCTACGAGGATTGAGACGCTGAAAAGCGTCGGACACGGCTCGATTCAGACGCTTGGACATACGGTGGCGAGAAGGTGAATTGAAGAATGAAGAAATGTCACAACGGGCACCAGTACCGTGGCTTCCATTGCGACAGGGGCAGTTGTGGTGTAGTGATTTCTCCGTAGTTGCGGATTATCACCCGTCGACAAAGACGTGACACCGCCCAAGATGTTCAAGCGACGAACCCTCGGTCAGGTGATGTACGGAGACGCCAAGGTGCAAGGGACTCGACGGCGTCACTCTCGATCTTTCAACAAAGTACCGGATACGGTCATATGTCACTGAATCCAGGCTGTCCTTATTATTAATAATGGACTGGCCGGATTCGCATTCAGCGGACCATCTACGGTACGAACCCTCAGTGGCGGTTGGGATGAGTTCGCGGAAGACTCAGCGACCCTTGGAAGGTGGGCTCACCGTCTGGGACAGGGCGCGGACCGTTAAAGATACTCATGCGACGGTGCAGACGACGCTTGGCATGCAAGAAGATCCATAACGGATCATTGTTCACTTGATATTTGTATACTTGATTAATACTTCTTATTAGGAATGGACCCGAAAGGGTAAGCTTAAATACAGAACAGAATTTTCACTCAAGCACACAGAGCGACGTCCGGCTTCAAGGTAAGCGTCAGGTCAAGCTTGTTTGAGTGTGTTATGCCTGTCGGTGAACTCGAAGCTCTGTAGCGAGGGTTCATCCGGCAAGGCCAAGAGACTTTGTGTATTGGCCGATTATTATCGGGAGGTTTTACGTGACGGCTTATCGTTGCCTATTTGCACGACTGGGAGTGCTTGAATTGCCTCCCTTTTATTTCTTCCAGCCGAGTGTTGAACACTCGGTGATCTCGTAAAAGGCTTACCCGTGCCTGGTACCCTTCCGCTGTTGGGACCACGAGGATTCAAAACACCTGCTAGCCACGCTCGTGCTAGTAGCGTGTTCTTATTTTACTGGTTGGCCTATATAAGTAGTTTACAAGGTCCAGTTTGTCCCGGTGCAAGGGCAGAACTGGGGTCTTCAGGTCCGCCCGAACGATCGTTTACTATCCTAGTAGACGTATTGTTGTGGGAACATCCTAACTACATTTGTAGCTAGAGTTCACGTGGGATTTCCAACACCACACTACCTGTACGAGATGAAGTGAGCTCTTGCCGCCACAAACGCGCTCCTGGGGTGCTCGATCACAACCGCGACTTGCCGTGAATGGGGCTCCCACTTGTTAGTTCGTTGGCGCACCATGAACCACGCGCAGCTCAGCCGCACTGCTACTGGAGCCGACTCGCAGCTTGCATCGACCTTGGAGAACATGTTGGTCCAGCTAACGGTGATCAACGACCGTGCTGCCCGCGTTGAAGATGCCTTGGCTGCGTCACCCGAGCGTCCTGCCACCGTTGAAGGTGTTCTGCAGCCAACAGAGGTAGTTGCGTCTCCTGTACACTCTCTGTAGCACCTGCAACAGCATCGACACTGACGGCAACTTCCTAAACTGGTACACAAACCGTTCAGAGCCGCCCACTGCGTACCAGGCTTGGAAGCTCTCATTATGGGAATTGGCGATGTAAATGGATGCAGCCGTAAACGAGAGGCTCCATGCCTTCGATCACAAAAATCAACCCGCAAGGCATCGTCGCTGCGTAAGCATTGGAGGCAGCTGCGCGCGTCAGATCCCGAGGCGTACAGGACACTTGGCGCCCAAATCCTTGCGGAAAAATTAAGCAGCGCTGCTGTTGATACCTGTACTTCATCGTCACATTTGTGGGCAGCAGTAGACTTAGCATAATACACAGCAGCACGCATTCCTATACACAAATACACAGTACAGCACACGCATAGCACATTACATACAAGTTGCCACCGGCTGGGCTCGAACCAGCGGCCTGGAGCCATCGTCTCCCGCTCTACCGCTGAGTTACGGGGGCGTAAGGATGTGGGGGCTTGAAGGGTACTCACTGAAAAACGCAGAATGAAGGGAGGAGAAAGACTTTCGCAAAGTGAGCCAACAATTTGTTTTCAGCTCATTGATTTGCAATTTGAACCTATCCACTGTCGTCCGATATGCATAATATGGTCGGATTACATCCAGCATGACTCAGTCATTCCGTATGGCGACGTTACGGACGGTGTCCGGATCTGCCCATTACTGTATTTTCGGATATCAAGCCATTTTTACACGCCGTGCGTGAGCGTGGATAAGCACTGATAGCTACATGGTATGTTTTATTAATAGTGTGGTGTTTGGAAATGATCAGCTCAGCAAAAACTGAGCAAGAACGCAGCTGGTATTTGTTTCGTCGCATAGTCTCGTTGGGGTGATGTGTTGTTGCCTGTAGTCGGATTCAGTAATAGTAAGACGGTGCACACCAACGCAGCTCATTGTAAAGAGACTCCGCCCAGAAACTGAATGCACATACAGCTTATACCCTGCAAACGCGGTCATACTACATTCAGTCTTTTCAGCCAGAACATACGTGGTACTAATGATTTGCAAGAATCAATAGCCTATGCTTACTTGATATCCTTTGGGAACTCTTGGTTGTCATCGCTGCCTTCTTCGTCAAATGCTTCACCTGGGCCGACGACAGTGTCCCTATCAGCACGTACAGGACAATACAAGCTATCATCTGAAGAAGAGTACGCGTACCAGATGACAGTAAAGCACACGAGGAAATACCTGCTCTATCTAGCAACTTTTTTACTACGAGGCGGAAATTTGATGTGACGAAGTATCAAAAAGCCTGAATTTAGCGTCTTTGCGGAAGGTTGACACCATCAAAGCGATGAGAGAAGGACCCTGCTAGGGCAGGGTTTGTCGGTCTCTTCAAGCACATATATGCTCAAACAAGCTTATACAGGTTTGAACTCGCCGGTCTGTGTATGCTACATCTCCTTTACTTGATGTATGATTTTCAGTGCTCAAATAAATATCGCAAGTCGTCCTGGCACGAGTCGTTTTTTTTTTCGTGCTTCAAATAGGAGCAGATCCGAGGTCATATCGGTCAGCTCCACCACATCGCTTATCCGAGCTACAGAATGCGCGTCTGCTCATTGATGTTGCCATGAAGCACTCCGTCGTGCGGGGCTGAGATATGTTCATGATACGCGCTAGTAACCGGAATAATGAAGTCGCTGGTACGCTGATCGTGCGCACCATCTTTTGGGCACGTGCAGCCACATTGAACGGCATTTACTCCAAAATCAGATTCATGTAAGAACACGTAAAAAGCGGGGTGCCCGCGAAGTAGGGCCGGGCGGTATTTGCGGAGGCGGGCCCAGCGCCGAGCTTTCCAGCGAGCCGAGCGTTGCACTCCCCACGTGAGAGAATTGTTTTCGCAGAAGTGCAAATGACTTCCGTCCTCTTTATCTTGATGATTGTGATGATGATGAGCCGTTATCTTGAATTTACTCAGGTCGTTGATTCTCAGCCGGGCACAGCATCACGTGCCAAAAGAGAAACACCATAAATGTTCTTACGAAAATGTTTGAGCGTTTTTTTTATCGAACACTAGCCTAGGGCCACAAGTACCTTGGGTTAATCACCTTCCCACCAGCATGCTCCCTCAGTATCTGGAAGACAACATATGCGGCTTTGTGCACCCGGGCTACGTGGTGATGGTCCTTACAGGTATGACGGGTCGACGTCCTCACGGACGAGAGCGTGAAGGGGATGACAAGTTTTGGAAATATATTAATGGCCGATACGGGGAGTGAGAGTCTATGCATGTCCTTCCGATATAGAGAAATCAAGCTTTGATCGATATAGCCACCACCAGCATTAAGTGAAATGTAATTCTAAATTAACAGTGCTTCAGAATGAAGTACGTACACGCCAAGAAAAATGTTTGTCGTACACGACGCTAAGGTTTATATTACTTAAGATAGACGGCTTATAAAACGAACAGTTTGCATCAGATGGTCACAGGTATCAAACATTGAAGCTTTGCTCTAAAAGTTCAAAATAGTTTCGTTAAATCAGCACGAATCGTCGATCGCTTTTACGAGATCATTTATTAAATCAGGGTTGGAGTAGGCATTTAGATTTACAGTCGCCAAACATGCTGAATTTGCTCAGCGATTTCAGAGGTAGCCGGGCGCTTAGCTCGCGTAAGATTTATGGGGGGGGTTGGCTTGCAAGCTGCACGCCACGACCAGACCGTCGCCGGTGATTGGTTTAGTGTAAGCGTATAATAACAGATATTACTTGTGTATTTGAAATGACAGGTCGTTAGTTCCCGGTTAATGCTGTCGCGTTACATGAATGGAAGAGGTAAACAGGCAGTCGCGCGGTGGAGGAGGGGGGGGCAGACAGTCGTCGATGATTGATATGATGGAAGTGTAAGTGTTAATTGTAATATAGGCGATTTGAAAAGACAGATCGTCAGCTCCCGCATGGTGCTGGACGCTTAGCTCGCGTAACATGAAATTATTGGCCTTTTAATTGCAGATTCACGCCACGTTTTTTTTTTTCACTACCGGGACAGGATTGGCCCTCCCTCAAATGTTGTGTTACTCTACCGAATTGAGCATTTTCCTCCAAGCGCTACCAGCCATACGGACAACCCAGCAGGGATGAATTAAATGCGTCTGTGTTGTGTGCTACTTAATTGTCACGCATACGAATATCGAATAGGCACTCGTTATCTAGCCCGACTGGGTGTGAAAGAGTCAGGCTACATTGCCCGACCCAACCCGACGGATGCCCGACTGACCCCGACTAGATAAAGGTTCAGTTGTGCAATCACAGGAAACGCACTCCAAGTATACGTGTCCAGCGCGTATACACGGATATTAAGACTCTGAATCTGACGAAGAGGGCAAAGCATTCAATGTACTCCGTTCACAGCGGATCCAACTTAGCACTCAAAAACGTTTTTCTAAAGTAAAACGATTGCTAACTTGTTAGGCTTACGCGCACATGCAGAGGTATCGATAGCGCAAATACTGTAGTTCCTTTCTGTTCAGGTAGCTAAGTCCGTCGGCCCCAGCAAACACTTCAAACGCCAGCAAGACATACATCCCGCAGTTAAAACTGTCGACCTGAACGCCTAGATTTCCACGATAGGGAGAGACACGATACTTTCGTGGGGCGAAATTTGGCAGCTGGGTCACTATCTTCTCAGTAAGCGCTCGGACTCCAATCATGTATGTAAAAGCCATTGGGTCGTACACGATTGCCTCTGTGCGCTCCACATCCACCATAATACCACACCAATGGTTCTTGTTGCAGCATACAGGGATCAGAATTTTCTCCGTCGACAAGTTCTTGAACATGTCCGCGAATACCGTCATCGGGACTGAGACAGCACCATGTTCCATTGGACCGATAACATTTGTATCCACAGTTATAATACTGGCTTTGGACTCGAAGAGCGAGGACATAACAAAGCTAATAGTATCGTCACTTAGTTGAGTTTTCCCAATGAGGTCCAGTATTTCCGCCTTAACTCACATTAAGGAAAGTTAGCATGAGCTGAAACGATTTTGTACAACGACAAAATACATACCTTTGATGACAGCAGGGGGATAGCCTTCAGTTTTGCTGGAAGAATGGACTGCTCTGTGACTTGAAACGACTGCGGCATGGTGACATCGAAATCAATACTCTCCGCCCAACTCAGACCTCTCTCGATAAGTTTAATGGATTTTGTAGCTGTGTGCCATTTCTTCATGATACCCACCGTTCGTGTTGAATACAAACCAATCCCAGCAATATCCAGCACCACACCCTGTTCGCGTAGTCCTTTGTATTTTGCTTGCAGTTTTGCGACTTTTCCACTGCATGTTCGAATTTGTTCGGGACGTAAAATTCTCGTTATAGAGTCCGATTGTATAACCAGCTTCGTTGGTGGTAGGCTGGATACGGTTCGAGCTGTAGGCGCCTTAAACTTGAAGCTTGTGTCAACCATCTTGAACTTTGTGAGAACAGCAGCCGCGGATTCGTATGTAGCGTCGATAGATAACACACTTTCAACTGTGGCAAGGCTTAAATTTGCCGCGTAAAGTTCCGAGTCTTCTTTCGCCATATCAACAGCTTTTTTGCGGGCTGCTTTCTTGGCTTTGGGGGTTAACTTTGGCCTTCCTCGTGACCTCGGAGGACTTGCGATTTCAAACGGCGTGTCCTCTGCAGCTGCCTCTAGGGGCGCGTTTAATCGAATTTCATCGTTAATTAGTAAAGCTCCACAATCTCCACGTGAACTCTCATTGCCTATACCGCTCGATTCAATCGTTTGTGAAGACTCTCCAAGCTCTCCACAATGGCCCGACCGGCCCGACTGACCCGACTCATCCGACTGCCCCGACTGACCAGACCGCTCTGACAAGTTTGCTATGTGATTATACTCCTCTCTTGCCGTTGCGAAAGCTGTGACTTCTTCGTCTGGCTCGGAAACGCATGTAGCTGGTACAGATGTGTCTGGTAAAAGCTCCTCCGGATCGGGCTCGCCCACGGCTCGGGTAGGATCTTCGAACTCACCTCTCTTGAAACGACCTGCCACTTCTTGAAGGTACTGCATGGCATCTTGATACTGTGCCATACCCAGTCCAGCCATAGTGTCGCAAATTTCGGATGCAATAGGTAAGGCTTCTCTATACTTGCGATTTGAATCCCAAGGTCGATTTCGAGCAGGCAGAACATTCTTCACTTCGAACGGCTTCGGTGTAGAGACGTGATTACTGGTACCGTTGTTTTCAATTGCCGACCGCACGGTAGATATCAGCCATCTCTTGGTTAGCGTGAGGGTCGGAATAACAGTTTCTTGGCCCAAGTCTTTGCGGAGGTAAAATACGTGGACGGCGGGCAGCAACCGCGTGCACATGAACAGGCAAGAGCACGTCCAGTCGCACTTTGTAACGGAGTATTCTGTGTCGACCTCATCCAGTGCTTCGATATCCTTGCACGTACTCTTTATCAAGTACACACCGG